CGTTAAGTATCTTTTTTTTAACTTGCCACATTTTCACTCTATCATGTATAAAAATGCTGAGCTGACCCATCTGACCTCAACTTTGGATGTAAATGACTGTGAAAGAGGGTCATTATTGGGGCACAGAGCTTCAGTCACAAAGGCTGCTCATCTGGCCAGTGTTTCCATAGAAACAGTGACTAAAGTGACATCTGCCTTTAGGTGTATGGGCTGTGCTGCGGCCTTTACACTCACCAAATCTCAACCCAGTTGAACAGCTATGGGAGATTTTGGAGCAGCGTGTTAGACAGCGCTCTCCACCTCCAACTGAGGGAATATCTTTTGGAAGAACGGTGTTCCGTCCCTCCAGTACAGTTCCAGAGACTTGTAGAATCCACACCAAGGCACAATAAAGCTGTTCTGGTCACTCTTGGAGGTCTAACATCCTTAAGAGACACTTTTTTTGGTATTTCCTTTAACTTCTCACAAATCTGTGTTATTTAGTTAAATTCCAAGCAGCTTAATGTTAAAAGAATTATTTTTCTTCATCAATTTTATTTAATAAAAAGTCACTTTTAACTGTGTCCCACATTTTATGTGCACCCCTGTTACCCAAACCTGTTCCCCACATTAAAAAATAAGACGTTCCATTTATTAAGATATAAACAGGAATTTGCATCGTCGTCTTGTTTTCCAAACTAGTCAGTATTTTCATTCTGTTTTCTCAGTTTACACACAAAACACTGATCTGGCTGCAGTAAAGCTTGACTATTCAACATTGTTACCAAAATTATTGTCAGGAACAACAAATGTCTTTTTAATTTATGCAAACTATATGGTTATTAGTAGTTAGCATGCAGCCTGTCAAGCTAACAACTCCTGAGTGCTGCTTATTTTAGGCTAAATTCACAACCATGTTACCCATTTTTGTCCATCAATTAATGTAAATGAAAATCAAATGAAAATGATTGAAAACAAATAATTTAATGAAAACATTTTGATTAAAACAATTTTTCAACTTACTTTATATGTGATTTTACTGCATTAATATCAGCTTAATAGGGAATATGATCTCTGTGTTCAGCCCTGTTACCCATTCATTGATGGGTAAAATAGCTTATATAGTATCTAATTTGACAGCCTGATGTGGGAAACATTTTCTGAAGGTTGAGCTCTTACTTTGATTAATACTGTGTCAAAAACACCAAAGAAGAAAGTAAAGTTTTAAAGAGATTCAAGTCATAAAATGAACTCTATTCAGAAAGTGTGTAATACATGTGTGTCACTTGGACGAGTGTCGGCCAAACGTGAAAGGAAAAAGTAGCAACTTTCACTTTACCTTCTCCAAAGAGTGTTTAGAGAAATTACTGAGTGTAATAAGAGATGAAGTCATTGTGTGATGGTGGGAGACGCATTAAAGACTGCAGCTCTTAACAGATGGTTGAATGTGTTTTAGTCTGATTCAGAGTAAGAGACCAGACTCTCCTGAGCCCAGCTGTGTGTCTATGAAGAGTGACGCGTCAATGGGTAGACTCATAAACTTCAAACAGGGAGAGTCTTCACCTGAACTGAGGTGAGTACAGTATCATGGATAATATTTATTACCACCCTGAATAGAGGGAGTAAAAGACCACTGTAAACACCAGTGCAGTTTCCCCATAGATGGCTTTATCTAGAATGAGGAAAAGCCTGTGATCGCCCCCTGCTGTCTGGATCGAGGCATAGCCCGTCAATCTCAGATCACTATAATGAGAGCTACTGGTAGATTCTCTATTTAAGAGAAGAGCTAAGCTTTATGTCTGTTAATACTCTTTATCATGGATTCACCATCATTTTCCTACTTCTTACACATGAATTCTCAAATGACTCCAGAGTTATGATTTTACCACAGATGAATTATTCTATTTATGAGCTACTGAGCAACAAATCATGTACAACTATAGTTATTACTAGTACTAGTAACATAGAGTAGTATCACTCTACGTTAAGTAAGTAAAATTTTTTTAACTTGCCACACTGTCACTCTACTATACACTCTAGGGATGGGAATCTTTAGGCACCTCACAATTTAATTCGATTACGTTTCAGAGGCTGCGATGCGATTATAAAACGATTATCGCTGCATCTCGCTGCATCTTTTTTTTCTATACATGATTTCTATTTTCTCACTGTCTGAGGACTTGGTAGTTTTGAAGCAAAGTATTTGTAATGATCCATAATGAATTTACGTCCAATATCTTTTATTAATGAAACAAATGGAAGTGATGTGGCAAGTGAAATGGAAGACTCTCATTCACTGCTGTTTGGAGCACATGAGACGCTGCTGCCACTCATCTGCGATAAAATGCGCTGTTACGGTGAAATAAGGTCCAGTGGTAATGGATGACCACGCAGCACTTTATATAGTCTTTAGGGATTTCATTACTTCGGTTTTGGTCTCATGATGCGAAAGACTGCAGGTCACATAGCAACGAGGTTTCGCCTGGCGAGTAGCGAAAGAAAAAGGAAAAGAGAAAGACGGACGAACATTGGGAGATGAATGGACTTATTCGCATTTATAAGCAGCGCAGTTTCCTGGTACATTAAATCTGCAACGAGAGACTCTCAAACACTACAAAGTGGCGAAGATGAAGTCGCTTCTCTTTCTAATTTTCCCGTTCCACCTTAAATGGTGCCGTATTTACATTCGGCGCCTCAGGCAGAATTTAAGGTGGAACGGGAAAGTTCAGCAAGAAGCTGGAGAATAAAAAGCGACTTCAGCCTCGTAAAACAGCGGAAAGCTGAGAGACATTTTACAAGAAACTATTCAACTTTTGAGCTGCCACATTCAACTTTTAGCTCATAATTCATTTAAAACTCTATAAGTGGAGAATGCTTCTGCCTTAACCATTGAAACTTGACGTGCACATTTAGGACCAGATTCTGTGGTAGCATATGAATTTTGGTGGGCATACGTCATTAGGGGGCGGGGCAATTGCCAATTAACTGTTTCTCAGCATCCGTGCATCTGATTGAGCTGAAACTTGGCATGTAGCATCTACTAGACAGACTATAAGTGAATCTTGAAGGATAATTTGATTCATTGAAATGTATGACCGCCATCAGCCAATCAGCATTCAGCAGGCTTTTGACAGGCTTAACATTGACCAATCATGACGAAACTTGAATGGTGTCTACATGTAGCCCCTTTCTAACAAGCAGTGAAGTTTCAACAGATTTGGCCACTGGGGGGCGCTATTCATAAAAAACCATATATTATTACATGATATAAACATATTATTACTATTTTTGACCCAAGCTCTGTATGAATCTTATGTATTCCAGTATGCCAAACAATTTTACTATTGCATGTTTATTCTAAAAATGCATAGTTTTTTTGTAATCGTTAACTCTTTGAAAACCATGCTTTTCGAACTAGTCTCTGAGTTTTGATCCAAACTTCTCGAATTTGGTCTAGAAATACTCTGTGGCCTCTCTAGGTAAATAATTATCAAAAAAATATTGACTTTTTCACTCGACCTGGTGTTGCTCCATCAATACATCACTGCGGCCATGGCATAGCCAGCTTGATTTGCTATAACTCATCAGTCTTTGGCTGTATCATCTCAAAAGTTTGAGTACTTGTATATATTGAGACTCAGACAGGGTGTGCAAAAATTTTGTCCAGGTATGACCTTTAGAGGGCGCCTTAGCTGTCAAAAACCCCAAAAATCATTAAAGATGCTATTACAGTGTTATTACAAAGTCTACAGATAAACACATGGTGCCATTTGATTCAGTTCACTGACCTGAATAACTTTGTAATTACATGTTAGGTCAAATATTTCACTCCTTGTGTAGTATTTTGAATTATTCCTTCAACAATTACAGCTTATTATACTAAGGTCAAAAGGTCAATCTGAACATAACTCAGTGAACAGCTTTGATCAAGTTCCCTGATCAATTATCATAACATGTGGAGACCTTTTGACCAATTCTAAACCACTTTCAGTGAGCTCCTCTGTGCCAAAAGGGTCCCTTATGAGTGCACTGGGTCTCATTATGGCCTGATTATCAAAGCCTTAAACATGGAGAAACAAAACCCCTTGCAAACACAGCTGGGACAGATATTTTACCATTGCTCATGTATTTTTGACATCTGTGCTGATAATCCTTTGCGTGTTCTACAAACCTTTGTAGATCAGTCCATAGAAATGTAAACATATGTTGAAAGTAAAATGGTCCATGACAAATGAAGGCCTTTTGATGAACTCATTTCAGCCTCTATGCCTGTAAGGCCCAAACTGCATGAGGCCTGATTAGGCCTATTTGGCTCAAAGTGCACGAGAGCTTCTTGTGCTTATGCGTGCTTGGACCCGCTCATTGCCGCTTGCGGCTATATTTTTCCTTTATTATTTTATTTTAACAAAAAGTCATTTTAACCTGTGTCCCACATTTTATGTGCACCCCTGTTACCCAAACCTGTTCCCCACATTAAAAAATGGGACGTTCCATTCATTATGATATAAACAGGAATTTGCATCATCTCCTTGTTTTCTGCAGAAAGACCATCAAACAAGTCAGTATTTTCATTCTGTTTTCTCCATTTACACACAAAAAGCTGATCTGGCTGCAGTAAAGCTTGACTATTCAACACTGTTACCAAAATTATTGTTAGAAAAAAAATATGTATTTTTTCATTTATGTGAACTATATGGTAATTAGTAGTTAGCATGCAGCATGTGCCCCCTGTCAAGCTAACAACTCCTGAGTGCTGCTTATTTTAGACTAAATTCACAACCATGTTACCCAGTTTTTATCCATTAATGAATTTAAATGAAAATGAAATGAAAATGGATTAAAAACAAATAATTTAATGAAAACATTTTAATTAAAACAATTTTTCAACTTACTTTATATGTGATTTTACTGCATTAATATAAGCGTAATGGAGAATATGATCTCTGTGTTCAGCCCTGATACCCATTCATTAATGGGTAAAATGGCTTATATAGTATCTAATTTGACAGCCTGATGTGGGAAAATAACATTTTCTGAAGGTTGAGCTCTTATTTTGATTAATACTGTGTCGAAAACACCAAAGAAGAAAGTAAAGTTTTAAAGAGTTTCAAGGCCTAAAATGAACTCTATTCTCAGAAAGTGTGTAATACATGTGTGTCACTTGGACGAGTGTCGGACAAACGTAAAAGGAAAAAGTATCAACTTTCACTTTACCTTCTCCAAAGAGTGTTTAGAGAAATTACTGAGTGTAATAAGAGATGAAGTCATTGTGTGATGGTGGGAGACGCATTAAAGACTACAGCTCTTAACAGATGGTTCAATGTGTTTTAGTCTGGTTCACAGTGAGAGACCAGACTCTCCTGAGCCCAGCTGTGTGTCTATGAAGAGTGACGCGTCAATGGGTAGACTCATAAACTTCAAACAGGGAGAGTCTTCACCTGAACTGAGGTGAGTACAGTATCATGGATAATATTTATTACCACCCTGAATAGAGGGAGTAAAAGACCACTGTAAACACCAGTGCAGTTTCCCCATAGATGGCTTTATCTAGAATGAGGAAAAGCCCGTGATCGCCCCCTACTGTCTGGATCGAGGCATAGCCAGTCAATCTCAGATCACTATAATAAGAGCTACTAGTAGATTCTCTATTTAAGAGAAGAGCTAAGCTTTATGTCTGTTAATACTCTTTATCATGGATTCACCATCATTTTCCTACTTTTTACACATGAATTCTCAAATGACTCCAGAGTTATGATTTTACCACAGATGAATTATTCTATTTATGAGCTACTGAGCAACAAATCATGTACAACTATAGTTATTACTAGTACTAGTAACATAGAGTAGTATCACTCTACGTTAAGTAAGTACAATTTTTTTAACTTGCCACACTGTCACTCTACTATACACTCTAGGGATGGGAATCTTTAGGCACCTCACGATTCAATTCGATTACGTTTCAGAGGCTGCGATGCGATTATGAAACGATTATCGCTGCATCTCGCTGCATCTTTTTTTTCTATACATGATTTCTATTTTCTCACTGTCTGAGGACTTGGTAGTTTTAAAGCAAAGTATTTGTAATGATCCATAATGAATTTACGTCCAATATCTTTTATTAATGAAACAAATGGAAGTGATGTGGCAAGTGAAATGGACGACTCTCATTCACTGCTGTTTGGAGCACATGAGACGCTGCTGCCACTCATCTGGGATAAAATGCGCTGTTACGGTGAAATAAGGTCCAGTGGTAATGGATGACCACGCAGCACTTTATATAGTCTTTAGGGATTTCATAACTTCGGTTTTGGTCTCATGATGGGGGGGGGAGGGGAGCGAAAGACTGCAGGTCACATAGCAACGAGGTTTCGCCTGGCGAGTAGCGAAAGAAAAAGGAAAAGAGAAAGACGGACGAACATTGGGAGACGAATGGACTTATTCGCATTTATGAGCAGCGCAGTTTCCTGGTACATTAAATCTGCAACGAGAGACTCTCAAACACTACAAAGTGGCGAAGATGAAGTCGCTTCTCTTTCTAATTTTCCCGTTCCACCTTAAATGGTGCCGTATTTACATTCGGCGCCTCAGGCAGAATTTAAGGTGGAACGGGAAAGTTCAGCAAGAAGCTGGAGAATAAGAAGCGACTTCAGCCTCGTAAAACAGCGGAAAGCTGAGAGACATTTTACAAGAAACTATTCAAATTTGAGGAAAAGTTTTCTGGCGGAGATGGAAGAAAAGCGGCTATAGCTAAAGCTTAAAGTAGAGTAGAGTAAGTCCGCATTTTTGTTTATATTTTTAACCTATACTTGGACATTAACACATACTGAGACATACTGGATATTAAATGTTGTGGCTCCCAAGGTGGTTTGATTTTTGTTGAAAGGACAAAATGGCTCTTCTTATCATTTGGGTTGTGACTCCTGATCTAACCTGGCTTTAATGCACAGAGAGCCGGTCGGATTTCTCACTCATCCAGTTGTGTTTTTTTTATGTGCCGCCTGTCCGGGCGCTGCACTTACCCACTTCCAAGTTCCGCCTTTTACGTTCCGTCAACATTACTTTATAAATTAAATATTTAGAAAATCGATTTTTGACGTTGAATGAATCTATTCAGAATCATCCACATCTGGAGGCTCGTTTACATGTTCTTCAGTTTAGTCTATTGACAGTAAAGTGAGATTTTTGAATACAGTTCAAGTCATTTCTTTCTCTAAATGTCAACATCTGATTTTTCTTTTTCATAACATGAGAATCAGCTTGATATTATTACTTAACTGTTCAATCCACACCTCCTTTAAAATATAACAAGCCTTATAACATTCAGAATAAACCCAATTACATCTCATATATTTAGTTACTTTGACAACATTACTAGCAGGTACAATGAAAGTACTGAAGAATTTCATCATTTTCAGTAAATGATCAGCTCTTAAAACAGATTATCTCCATAGTCTATATCTATACACCATCATCTAGTCTGCCACACACATTCATATGAATAGTAGTTCTCTGAAATGGTGGCAGTGACTCCCTTAACTAACGATCTCCATTATACACACATCCAGACCACTAATGGAAAACTTCCAAGCTGTTAGAGTAAAAGAACATTAATAACAGAAACAACATCTTCACATTCAACACTAATTATTCTCCGTGGTTATGGAACGCCGTCAGCTCTGGCTTTTCCATTTGAGTTAACTCAGCATCTCCACTGGACTTTTCCAGAAACACTTCACACCTTTACTGAATGAACTTCCTTCACAAACATCATATAAACACTGTTAGTTTAATATGTCTTTACTGTTCCACTTCCAACAATATTAAACCATATTTTGTTGGATTTTTACCTGAACAGAGGGACTAAAAGACCACTGTAAACACCAGTGCAGTTTCCCCATAGATGGCTTCATCTAGAATGAGGAAAAGCCCGTGATCGCCCCCTACTGTCTGGATCGAGGCGTAGCCAGTCAATCTCAGATCACTATAATAAGAGCTACTGGTAGATTCTCTATTTAAGAGAAGAGCTAAGCTTTATGTCTGTTAATACTCTTTATCATGGATTCACCATCATTTTCCTACTTTTTACACATGAATTCTCAAACGACTCCAGAGTTATGAATTTACCACAGATAAATTGGCCGATAGTCATGTTACCAACAAGTTCCATAAATTTAATCCAGTATGAATCTACATATGGGAGCGGGATCCAATGACTAAAGATCATTCCAATGTTGTTGTAGTTCACCTGTTTAACTGGTAGAGGTTCACATGTCTTCAGTTTTGACTCATGCAGCTTTAATGTATTTTATCATGGTAGTTTTTTACCTGTTGGTCTGTTTAGTGGTTCATGCTGTGTGCATATATATATATATATATTTTTTTTTCTTTCCCATAGCGTTCAAATGGAGAGAGCAAAGATCTCCATGACACGTCTGGAGTCCATATTCCATAATTTTAATCCAGTATGAATCTGCAATGTCTTCAGTTTTTTCAAGTTTGCTAAGTAATAATTCTGGTGCAAATTATTAAATACATGTAATTAAATTATTTATTATTAATAATAATTAATTATCATATTATTAGTTGTATTGACATCACGATAATGTATTAACAGAACCTGGTAATAGTCATCAGCTACTATTTTTTTTTTTTGTAAAAGGAGACGAGGCTAACTGGTAAAATGGAGCTTGACTTGGCACAGTTCCTTCATTCTGAAGTTCAAAACAGTCCTACTGTAAGCATCAACTTATTTGTGCTGTGCTAATTAGAAGGAGGAAAATAAAATATCTGAAGGTATCTTTCACAAGGTAGAGTGATTTCTGTCCTGTTGGAGCTCATTTTACTAGTGTAATGCTGTTATAACTGGTATTAACTGGATGTTAATTTTTGCCATTTTTTATTTGGATCTGTTTAACTATGACCTTATGGATGTTAAAGTCCAGGCTATGACATTTTGATCTGGGCTATCTGGGGTAATTTGGGGAAATTACACAGAGACTTTATCCTGTATAAATTGACCAGTTGAATTCCTCACGAATGACATAACCAGACGTGAAAAGGCTTTGAAAAGGACCACAGTCAATGTGCTCTATGTAGGCTGTAATGAGTATTTTGATCTCCTCTCAAGCCACGTTAGCATAAAGCCATACTTTTATCATCTATATCCAAATAGAAAGGAGATACTGGTAATAAACTGTCTACCTCATCACTAGAAATTGAAGTCATGACAGTGTTTAGTAATGCTAACAAACTCTAAATGAGCTTCACTGGTCACCGTCGATTCTACAGCTTGCTTTGTGTTGATGGGTGGGAATGGGAGGGGGATCCAAAGACTAAAGATCATTCCAATGTTGTTGTAGTTCACCTATTTAACTGGTAGAGGTTTGCATATCTTCAGTTTTGACTCATGCAGCTTTAATGTGTTTAATTATGGAAGTTTTACCTGTTGGTCTGTTTAGTGGTTCATGCTGTATAAATATGATATAGATTTAAATTTTGTTTTTCTTTTCCATAGAGCCCAAAAGGAGAGAGCAAAGATCACCATGACACGTCTGGAGTCCATATTCCAGGTGTGTGTTTGTACATGTGTATGCATGTAATTGTGGGTAAAATGTGTATATTTTCTCCTGAGAATCTCACATTAATCTCCAATCAGCCTGTAGTATTAACTACTCACACACTCCACTACCCCACAGGAAGAGCTACACAGCTAACATCACATCACACAGTGTGACTGAGTGCTGTTTCAGGATAGATTTGTTACAGGGTTACATCACATTAGATCACACTGATACTGATACCCATCGATACTGTCTGGTCATCTTTAATCAGTGGTATGTATGATTTGGTTAAGAGTCCATAGAGACTAATGTTACTAACAGGTAACTACCTAAGATCTAACAACATGTCTACATTGGCACTACCTGCTTAAAACTCTTTATCAGCACACATGTTGAATGCTGTATCGACTCAGGGCCTCCTTTTATATAAATGTCCCTTCATTCATAAACCCTATAATAAACATACTTGGTGTTACAGTATAACACAAATGTATCTGTTTATCTGTGCATATGACATCAAAGAAAGTCTTTAAAGTGATTATTTGCCAGTTGTACTCCTCAAAATCACAAGTGGAAAATTCTAACATCCTTATAGTTGTATATTAGAGACCATGTAACACAGTTCGGCACCTTTTTTTCAGTTTTTCAAATACATATTGTCCCATATTGTTTTACTTAACTTACCATAATAAACAATTAAAATAAATGATTAAATATAAAAAATCACCATATCTCAATTAAAAACCTTGGGAATTTGAATATAAAGTGTACAGCTGTGAAATTTTCAGTTAACAACATGTAGTCTACGTTCAACTCCAGAATCATCGGTAGCCTTCATGAAAATGAGCTACAATCAGTAGATTATATAAACCACACATGCGATGAGTGATATTTTGAGAATAAAGAAATGGGCAAGTAGAATATTTTTATTTTTCCCTGCCTTTCTCTGGCGAGAATAACAACCCTGAGCTGTTTTCTGTAATGCTTATCAAAGGTGGAGAACACTTGTTGAGGGATCTCAGGTCACTCCTCCATGCAGAACATTTCCACTTCCTTAATATTCTTCAGTCTTCGCTTGTGGACGGCCCTCTTCAATTCACACCACAAGTTTTCAACTAGGTTTAAATCTGGAGACTGAAAGGGCCAGTGCAAAACTTTTCTTGTGTGCAACACCTTATGAAGCTAAATGCTAGTAGTCTCCACTAAATGCAGTACTGCACTTATTTAATAGAAGATTGTTTTTTTGTGCACTCCACACTAAATGTTTTATCATTGATCATTTTGCACATCAGTAAAGGCGCTGATGTGCTACACAGAATGTGGCACGATGCAGACAAACATTGTTTGTTTTTACACTTGTATAAACTCCATGAAATAAAACTTTTAACCTACTTTTTGCATTGCTTCACTAACTTTTCACAAACCCACTGTTTTTCAGCTGAAAGATACAGTGGCATGCAAAAGTTTGAGCACCCCTATTCAAAATTTCTTTGGGTGAATTTTTTTTTTTTTTATGTCTAAATTTTGTTTTGTACAAGAGTGAAAAAGAAAGAAGCAGCATGCAAATATTTTGGCACCCCAAAAGATTTGAGCTCTCAGACTTTAATTAGCTTGTTAGGGCTGTGGCTTGTTCACAATCATCTTTAAAAAAAAGTTTGGGTGATGAAAATTTCAAAGCTTTATAAATACTCTGACTCCACAAACCTTGTCCCAACAATCAGCAGCCATGGGCTCCTCTCAGCAGCTGCCTATCACTCTGAAGATTAAAATAGTTGATGCCCACAAAGCAGGAGGAGACTATAAGAAGATAGCAAAGAGTTGTCAGGTAGCCGTTTCCTCAGTTTGTAATGTAATTAAGAAAAGGCAGTGCACAGGAACAGTGGAGGTCGAGTTGAGGTCAGGAAGACCAAGTTAACCTTGTGAGAGAGCTGCTTGTAGCATTGCTAGAAATGCAAAACAAAACCCTTGTTCAGCTGCAAAAATCTTCAGGAAAATGTGTCAGACTCTGGAGTGGTGGTGCACTGTTGTACTGTGCAGTGACACCTGCACAAATATGACATTCACGGAAGATTCATCAGAAGAAATTTTTCCTGTGTCCTCACTGCAAAAGTCAGCGTCACACATTTGCAAAGGAACATTGAAACAAGCCTGGTGCATTTTGGAGAAAATGCAACATGTGGACTGATTAAATTAAAATAGAATATGTGGCCTCAATTAGTAAATGTATGTTTAGAGAAAAAAGGAAGCAGAATTTCATGAAAAGAACACTTCTTGAACTGTTAAGCATGGGGGTGGATTGATCATGCTTTGGGATTATGTTGCAGCCAGTGGCACAGAGAACATTTCACTGATACAGAGAAGAATGGACTCAATTAAATAACAGCAAATTCTGGAATCAGTCATCACATTGCCTGTAAGTAAAAGCTGAAGATGAAAAGAGGACGGCTTCTACAAAAGGATAATGATCCTAAACACACCTCAAAATCCACAATGGGCTACCTCAAGAGGTGCAAGCTGAAGGTTTTGCCATGACCTTCTCAGTCATCCCGACCTAACCATCATTGAAAATCTGTGGATAAACCTCAAAAAGAGAAGTGCATGCAAGGCGGCCCAAGAATCTCACAGAACTACAAGCCTTTTGCAAGCAAGACTGGGTGAAAATCCCTAAAACAAGACCTGAAAGACTCTTAGTTGGCTACAGTGAGTGTTTACAAGCTGTGATATTTGCCAAAAGGGGTGTTACTAAGTACTGAACATGCAGGGTGCCTAAACTTTTGCTTCAGGCCCTTTTGCTTTTTTGTTATTTTTAAACTGTAAAAGATGGAAATAGAAAAGTAATCTTGTTTAAAATATCAAAGAAATGTGAAATCTTTAACTTTGTGTCTTTTGGAAATCAGGTTTTTTGTTACTCAAAAACTGCTCAAAATTTCTGTATGTAAGACTTTTACATACGGCTGTATGTAAGTAGTGTAAGCAAGTTTAATATTTCTTCGGTTACATTTTCACAGGCTGTGTTGTTGTGTTCTGGTTGCCTTTCTGAACAAAATCCAACATTTACCACTGCTTTATGATTTCAGTTCAGCATCGGAAGCCCCTTTATATGTACACATCCTAATGCATATTATCCTGTAATGACATGAAGATCAATGAAAAATGATTGAATTATTAAGTTATAAGATTGAGTAATTAAATACTAAACCCACTGAGAGATCTTTAGTGTTTAGGGGTTAATATGTTTACAGAAAGCAGATTTAGAGAGATATTTATAATTAACAATATAACAATCTCTTGCCATTTTGTGGGTCCTACAACATTTTTATGTGAAAGACACTTTTATTAATTTTTTCCTGGTAGAGAATTCCCACCCACAAGAAAAAAACAATATATGTTTGTTTTCTAACATGTAGACGTATCATTTCTCCACATCATTTATTCAGAATGCAGGACCATATTCACATTTCACCATCATTGTTCTTGGGTGAAAGCTTGAACTGCAGGAAGTGAGTAATAAAGTAACTGAAACATAGTGTACTAGTGTACTGACTCTAATATGTAGTGTACTGACTCTAATATGTAGTATACTGATGTGATTTTGAGCAGTTTGTTGTTTTAATCAAATGTTTTATTAAATAAAAAATATCTGCAGTCCAGTTTTAAAGTTTCTCAGTGGTCCTGATATGAGATCCACTGAACTATGACATGGTGGTGTTTCAGTCGTTTTCTGTTAATGTTTATGTCCAATCAGGAACTGGAGCACAAAGTCATCTCTCTGGTGAAGAATCAGCTGAAGAGGTTCAAGAAGGTACTGAGTCCAGATTTCCCAGCATGCTCTGAGAGGGAGGTGGAGGGTGAGGTGGATCAGAGTGTCAGAGAAGGAACACTGCAGATCGCACTGCACATCCTGAGGAACATGAACCAGACAGACCTCGCCAACACACTACAAACCAGTAAGAACTCTGTCACACTGGAACACTGAGCAGCTCTGGACAGCCTGTATATACAGTGGTGGTCTTTGCATGAGGCTTAGGGTCCCCATGAAAATACAAAGTAGATATATTTTGCGTGTTAAATTTATTTATTTTATTATTTTAGTAATTTTATTAAGTAAAATTATCTCACTGTACTGGCAGATGATTTTATTTGTGTCTGGCATATTTCTTAAAACAAGTAAAATGATCTGCTAATATAATGAGAAAATTTTACTTAAAATTACTTATAACAAGTAAAAATGTCTAGAAATAAGTTAAAAGGGAAAAACTAATTTTTTGCTTTTTTTTAAAGACGTATTATGTATTATGCAAATTTTGTTAAATTCGAAAACATACCATTCACTCTCCAGTCCATATAGAAAAACAAAGCCCACACAAACATTATAAGTGATAAACAATTAAAAAAATAAAAATATGATAAATGTAGGATTTGGGCTTTTTAAATGCTCTAATCATATTCTTACTCCATTCTCAAAATTAGATATTGAAATTAGGTATATTAACCAGATTTAAGATGATTTCACTTGCCAAGACATGTCGTGCAGTGTAGACGGCTGTGCCACTCGGGGACCACCCAGAGCCACGACTAGTTTACAAATGTGCCACCAGGGGGCCCCATTCCTGTCTTTAGCCTAGAACCTCAGAATCACTAATTCCACCACTTTGTACATAAACGCTCTGTTCTGACACAGTTTCCCTGATACAGAGCTCATTCCATTATTTCTTTTCCATTATAAAGTTAATTATTTTTACAAGTAACGAGTAAACTGAGCATAGAAATTCTGGCAAGTTAAATATAAACAATCTGGAAGGAATTTCTTCAGGACAGAAGAACAAGAAGATGATCCTTTATTATCTAAATTAATTGTGGTTATTTAATTTTGCTGATGATTCCTAGACAAGAGAACCACAGAGCACAGTTCAGTTTAATATTGTGCTCCGTGTTGATAGAAGGGTAATGTGTGTTATTGTGTTTGTGGTAAGGATGTCAGACATTAACATGTTTATTGTTATTGTTTATTGTAATAATCTTTTTTCAGAACTGGCTCCTGCTTGTCATCAAAAGTTCAAATCCACATTGAAAAACAAATTCCAGAGAATTAATGAAGGAATCTCATATCATGGAGGCTCAACACTTCTGAGTGAGATCTACACAGAGCTCTACATCACAGAAGGGGGGAGTGGAGAGATCAATAATGAACATGAGGTGAGACAGATTGAGACAGCGTCCAGGAGACCAGCAACACAGGAGAGACCCATCAACTGCAGTGACCTCTTTAAAGACACAGCCGTCAGAACTGTACTGACTAATGGAGTTGCTGGAATTGGAAAAACAGTCTCAGTGCAGAAGTTCATTCTGGACTGGGCTGAAGGAAAAGCAAATCAGGACATCCTCTTCATATTTCCACTTCCTTTTAGGGAGCTGAATTCAGTGAAGAGCAGAAAACTCAGTCTGGTTGATCTTCTTCGTCTCTTTTTCACAGACATTAAAAAGTTAAAACCAACAGATTATTATCAGTACAAAGTCTTGTTCATCTTTGATGGTCTGGATGAAAGTCGACTTCCTCTAGATTTCCAGAACAATGAGAGCTTGTCTGATGTAACACAGTCAGCCTCAGTGGATGAGCTGCTAACAAACCTCATCAAAGGGAATCTGCTTCCCTCTGCTCTTCTCTGGATCACCTCTCGACCAGCAGCATGTGGTCAGATCCCTCCTGAGTGTGTTGACCAGGTAACAGAGGTACGAGGATTCAGTGACCCTCAGAAAGAGGAATACTTCAGGAAGAGGGTCAGTGACCAGAGTCTGGCCAACAGAGTCATCACACATATGAAGTCATCAAGAAGCCTCTACATCATGTGCCACATACCGGTCTTCTGTTGGATTGCAGCCACTGTTCTGGAGAGGATGCTGGGTGGAGCAGAGAGTGGAGAGATCCCCAAGACTCTGACTCAAATGTTCACACACTTCCTGATCTTTCAGATCAAACACAAAGACCAAAAGTACCATGGAAAATGTGACACTGATCCTCGGCAGACTAGAGAGATTATTCTGGCTCTGGGAAAACTGGCTTTCCAACAGCTGGAAAAAGGCAACCTGATCTTCTATGAGGAAGACCTGAGAGAGTGTGGCATTGATGTCAGAGAAGTGTCAGTGTACTCAGGAGTCTGCACTCAGATCTTCAGAGAGGAGTTGGGGCTGCACCTGGGGAAGGTGTTCAGCTTTGTCCATCTGAGTGTTCAGGAGTTTCTGGCTGCTTTGTTTGCATTTTTCTCCTTTATTTCTCAGAACAGAAATGTGCTGAAACAACAAACACATTCAAAATCAACAATGACTGATTTTCTCAAGAGTGCAGTGGACAGAGCTTTACAGAGTGAGAATGGACACCTGGACCTTTTTCTCCGTTTCCTTCTGGGTCTCTCACTGGAGTCTAATCAGACTCTCTTACGAGGTCTACTGACTCAGACAGGAAGCACTTCTAACTGCAGAGAGGAAACAGTTGAGTACATCAAGGAGAAGCTCAGGGAGAATCTCTCTCCAGAGAAATACATCAATCTGTTCCACTGTCTGAATGAACTGAATGACCACTCTCTAGTGCAGGAAGTCCAGACATACCTGAACAGAGGAAACCATCGCTGTCTATCTGGAGTCCCCCTCTCTCCTGCTCAGTGGTCAGCTCTGGTGTTTGTGTTGTTGAACTCAGAGGAAGAGCTGGATGAGTTTGACCTGAGAAAATATGACCCATCAGATGAATGTCTTCTGAGGCTTCTGCCAGTCGTTACAGCATCCAGAAAAGCTGAGTGAGTATTTTCATTAATACACATTTTACTGCACTGTTTATTTTAAGAGTGATTTTAGTCATAAAGTTTTCCATGATTTTAGTGGAATGTAATCCAGAAAACCCCTGTCCTGATTAACAAGCCCTTACTGAGTTAAAGTGGATGTGTTAGTGCAGGAAATCACTACAATGTGCAGGGTTGGGATGTAAAAGTATACAAGTAGAAAGAAATGAGGTGTCTGAGTTCAGTCCAAGTTACATTTTGAACAGGCAACATTCAGGACACAGTTACCTTTTTAAACTTTTAAGATTTGGATACCAACCAAATAAAAAATTCAGTTTTTAGAAATAACACTATTAATATTTCTTGATTGACTATTTTAAAACCTCAATCAGAGAAGAGAGGACAGAATGAAAGGTGGTATATTGAATATGGTAGAATATTGGAGGCAGAAGGTGGTACAGTATTGGAGCAGATTGAGGAAGGGAGGAAGACCCTGCTTTGGTTCCTTGGTGAGCAGGAAACGTGTTAAAGTCCACCTTTCAGAGGTTTGATTTAAAAGTATTAATCGTTCAGCCAAATGTGATGAGATGTTATGGTATTTTACTGTGTGGCTGTTTGGCTTTTGCAAAATGTTTCCTATAATCTTAAAGCAGGTTTGTATACAAACTGTTCCACTTTACCTGAAAATATTTAGGAGACTCTCAAAAATATTATTACTTTTTAATTTAACACTTTTTAGATTAATGCTTTTAAAACAGCCTTTGAAGGGTGGATTTAACACGTTTCCTGCTCACCAAGGAACCAAAGCAGAGGCTTCCTCACTTCCTCAGAGCTCTGTGCAGGCCACAGGAGTTCCTTCACACCAAACTCACTAAGGCAGGTCTTTATAGAGTTTGCTTTGTGCACAGAGGCTCAAACTGCTGCCACAAAGTTGGAAACATTGAATTGTCTAAAATTAATTTGTATGTTTTTGTAGCATTATTATTACCCCTCAGTGGAACTAAGGGGCCCAAATCCTGAAAAAAGACCTCTGGTCTTTTATTCTGTACCTGCAGTTTTTCTCCATTTACAGTTTCTCTAAATGGTGTATTTCTTCAGTGTTAATTGTACAGAATAAAAACAGACTTTTTAGTGCTGTGTGGGGTTTAGATTAATAATTGATACGAGTCCTTAAAAGATGATATTGTATAGTTGTTGGCAGTGTGTGAAATGACCCCTGGTGTTTGGGGGGTTACATGTTGTCTGGCGACTCCAGCATTGGCTGTCTGCTAACTCATTCACCATAAAGGCATTGATACAAGCTTTAATGGCAACAATGTTTGGTTTAATAATTCTTCTTTTGGAAATGCTCTTTTCCAGTTTAGTAATGTGCTCTTCCACACATTCACTGAGATCTCACACATCTTCTCTTCTGTCTTTGGTTTTAGAAATGAGTCACAATTCACTCTTTCTATCCGTCTCTTGGTCAGTTTCTTAGATTTGTAAAAAGGCTGTAGCACATTGTAAAGTTGTTCAGAGGTATTCTGGGCATAGTTACAGTTAATAGGCTATGCAGGATGAACTGAGTGAACCAGTTTGCAACAGCGCCACCCTGAGGCAGAGCAGTGCTGCATCACTAGCTAGTTAAGAAAATCAAAGACAGAATCTCATCATTTCCTGAGTGAAGCAGCTAAACAACGACCTTTCACTGAATTTGTGTTTGAGCTTCTGTTTTTCCCAAACAGACAGTTTAACATCATAAGGTTATTGTCAGTGAACCACCTGAATTCATGGGGTCCTACTGGGGGGTCTAGAATCCCCCAGGACCTCCCCTGTATTTTGCATCTTGGTTGTTGGCAGTTTCACTAACACTAATATGAATTTTGTTTGATGTTTTAATGTGCTGGATTTTGATTGATTAAAAAATCAGTGGTCTTGATATTTGTAGTGAGTAATTTGAAGATGAAACTGAAAATTTTTGCCAACTTGGATAGACGAGGATTAGGAGTGCAGTGATTATTCAACTTAGTCGACTAAAATCGCCGACCACATTAGTTCACAGCTAATTTAGTAGTCGATTAGTTGGTGACGTCATTACGCGTATTTGTTGCGCTCACTAGAAACGTTGTGACATCACCGCTCACTGGAGACGTAACAACAGCATGATGGGAGCCTCAAGAACAAAATCCTCAGAAGTGTGGGAGCAAAAATGTTGTCAGTTGTGCTGTTTGTTAAGCCGACCTTAGCTGCACTGAGAGCACATCCTCCATGTCGGGCCTCTGAAGAGGAAACACGGCGGCTCACTGGATGAAGAAGATTCATCTCGGTAAGACGCCCCGTCCCAAACCGCACACTAGCTCACTACATAGTGTGTAAAAATAGCGCATATACCATTATAAGTGCCCTCATTAGTGTAGTGTATGAAGCACAGAAGTGTGTGGTTTGGGACAGTTGTGCTAGTGAGCTAGTTAGCTAATGCTAATGTTAAACTCCATCCTCCTTCATGTTCTGAGCTGAGCTGTAACATTATCTATTAGAAATGCAGGTTCTCTGGTATCGTTAATGGAGTTGGAACAGAGGAGCAAGTAACTATAATTCACAGCTCCCTGTTCAGTTTCCAGATAACGCTCACACTTTTAAACACTGCATCAGTGTCTGAACGCCGAGGCCACTGGTGCGGTCAAGTTCACCGAACACAAGAGAGCGTTTGAGAACAGTTTTCTGTTTTCCGTGGACGTTCGGCTCCACTCGCTGACAGTTTAAGGAGGTAGTTCTCCGTGAACACACAGGGTAGCTGGACAAAGGGTGACCACTGAAATGAAGTGTTTACACAAAATCGTTCAAATTTCAAAACATTCTCCACTTTCCCATCCGCTCCATCACAGCGCGTCTTCTTTGCAGCGGGGAGTTTCTGCTCTCAGAGGAGAGAGAGACTCTCACAGGAGCTCGGAGAGACACTGACTTTCCTCCGTTTCACTGAAGATCTGTGACTAAAATTTAGTAAAGCAAAGTGTAGAAAAACAGCAGAGCACAGAGCACAGATCACAGACTGCACTGTGAAAATGGAACATTTAAAGTTAGTTTTTATTTACTTGATTAAAGAAAAACTGTTTTAGTTTCGTCCAGCTGCCCTGTATGTTCTCAGAGAACTTCCTCCTGAAACAGTTTACAAGTAGCAGCAAACGACAGCGGAGAACTCCAGGAAAACCGAAAACTGTTTCCAACTGTTTATAAATGTTTTCCTATGTTCTCCTAATTTGAACTCATCTGTGGCCTCGACGTTTAGACAGAGATGCAGTGTTTAAAACTGTAAACGTTATTTTGAAAGTAAACAGGGTCGCTGTGAATCATTTCTTCTTCACTCCAACCCCTTTAACAGTTCCAGAGAACATGCATTTCACAACAGAAGATGTTCAGCTCAGCTCAGAACATGAAATAAGACGGCTTTAACATTAACATTAGCTAACTACCCCACTAGCACAGCTATCTTACCCAGATGAACTGTTTTATGTAGTGAGTCGACGTGTTTCCTCTTCAGAGGCTCCAACACAGAGGATGAGCTCCCATAGCCAGCTAAAGTCGGCTTTACACACAGCACAACTGACAACTTTATTCAGAGTGTAGTTTTTGTTCTCGAGGCTGCCATCGCGCTTTTGTTAACTCTCCAGTAAGCGGTAAAGTCAAAACATCCCTAGTTAGCGCGAGAAACGCTCAATAACCTGGAATATAACGGTGGTCTGGGGTGGGCTGTACACTGTTATAACAGTAAATACCGGTATGATGTTCACTCATGAGATGAGTTTAGCTGTACTGTGGATACAGAGATAAACCCAAACACAGTGAAGCACAATCAGTGCTGCCCCTGAGAAAAACTAAATAAGAGCATGAAGAGCTTAAAACTCTTATTAACTCAACAAAATGGTGTTCTAGACAAAACTGCACTGCTGAGTGTCGCTTGCAGCAGCTCCTCCATTAATCAGTGTAGGATTACGCAGGTAGACACACACAGTAGTGCTGCACGGTATACCGATACTTGAAAAGTATTGCGATACTTCGTCATTAAAAACGGTACAATACCCCATTTATTTAGTACCGGTACTAAATGAATGAGCGTGTTTTAAAATAAGAGCGGTATTTCCAACGAGTGCCACAGGGGGCAGTGTGCGCACGCAGCTCCAGCGCTCACCTCAGAGTCAGAAGAGAACGCGTAGCATGGCTGCTAATGCCAGCGATTTCGCAGACCGTCCTCGGCTTGTAGAAAAAGCACGAAGCGAGATATGGAAGTATTTTACATACACAGCTGACAGTCAGGGCAACATGGACACATCAACACCGGTCTGCAAAAGAGGCTTTAAACATGTCCAGACCAAAGGAGCCGACACCTCCCACTCAGCACATCTTTCTGACAGACATGCAGAGCTGTTTACAGAACTCAGAGAACGGCAGGTTAGTGAATATGATGGAGCTGTAACAGTTACATCAGGAGTCAGAGGAGTCGGAGTCTTTTTGTGTCAGTCTGTCTCATGAGGCAGTTTAGGGCAGTGAGAACTGTTTAAGTTAACTGACTTTATCTTCGTTGATAAATACCAATGTGGCGAACTGGTAACGTTATGTTTACACTGACCTCCATGCTGCTGAATATCAGGCGCTC